ATTTTAATGATGATACCACTAGTGGTTCGTTGAAGTTGGCCTGCCTGCAGGGCTACTTCGCTGCAGCTAAGTGTGAAGTTGGGTACGCGGATTCCCAGCCAAGGGGCAAATATCAAAGCCTGGCCCAGATAGAAGGTCTGGATGGGGAAAGAGATTCCACCTTTTACTTACATCTGTATAGTTTCTAGTGTTGAAAACAGATGCAAAGCACAACACATTACATTTGCTTTATTTCAAAGGAGGAATGTATTTCTGCACCTTGGATAACCATTTATTTGTAAAATACACAAGTTATTTTAAAATGAGAGAATCAGAGCTATGATGGGTATGAAAAAAATTTAATCAACTGTGGAGACTGTAATGGGAACATTTTTTATGTTCTTGTTATTGCACAAAATAAACTTTTTCTTACTTGCATGAAAAAATACAGTGCTGGCATGAACTGTAGAAGAAAATGGAAACAAACAAGTGTTATCTGTCATATTAGGATAATGTCCTAAATGTTTCACCTGTACTGGAAATTTAGATATCAAACCTTTAACCAGGTTGGAAGCAAGCTCAGTGAGCAGTAAAGATCAAGGATCACGGAACAGTAGAACTTACTTCGTATTTTATGACAAAGAATTTTCTGAAAGGAAAATTTCCCTGAGTGTTGATTTCTGCATCCTCTGATATAGGAGTGTAAATACTTTCATTACAAAATACAAGACAAGTGCTTTTTAGAGCAACTTTTTGGGAGTAAATTTTAATGAGTTTTAAGATATGACAGTTTTTCTAAACTTTGAACTCTCTATAAGACTGACCTTTTAGTAATGCACCACATCCGTGTCATCTGCGAATAGTGTGACAGAAAGATGCACCTTAAGATAGATGGACAGATAATTTTTTAAAAACCTGTGGGAAATTCTGGTAGTCTAAGATGCATTTTCAGAAACTATTGATTCAGCAGTAGAGTTATAAGGCATGATTTTCAAATGTTTAGCAGCTTTGGAGATCTCAGTTTTTGAGTATTCCTAATAGTCTAAGATGCATTTTCAGAAACTGTTGATTCAGCAGTAGAGTTGTAAGGCATGATTTTCAAATGTTTAGCAACTTTGGAGATCTCAGTTTTTGAGTATTCCTAAAGCATGTCTGGTATTCAGGGCGAGTACTCATAATTCACTGAAAGCTGCTCTGCTTTAGGGAATTCAAAACAGGGGTTCGCTTGCTACCTCCAGTTGATACTCTGAAAATCATGTTGGCCAATGTTAGTATCATGTTGCTTTCATGACAGATGAAGTTCTTCAGCCTCCCCTTTGTTTGAGGTGTATTTCTTCTCAAGTCCATAGCCAGCCTCCTACCCAGATGTGGAGGCTGAATGAGCCGGCAGGTCTAGGACGGCAGTGTTAGTTGCCAGCAGAAGGGCTTGAGAACAACACTGAGAAAGGACTTAAGGTCTCCTGTTTGGAGTAAGAAGAGGTTTTTGTTTTGGTTTTGGTTTGTTTTTTCCCATCCAAAATTTCTCATATGAAAATTTCTCTTTTTCAGCTGGGAAACAATGCAAAGTACTTTGTCGTAGTTCTGCCTTCCCCCCCCCGCCTTCTGACTTGAGTGATAATTGTGCTGAAAAATAGCTGCAAAACCTGCTCAAGTTGAAGTGTGTCCCACTGCTCCAGTGTCAGGCTAAGCTCCAGGCTAAAGGCAGTCGTTGTGCTAAGTGCACAGAGGAGGTTAAGAACGATAAGCAGCTGAAGAAGTTTGCAGCTTGGGGATGCAACAGGAGGTCCCTCCAGCTCAGTCGTAACTCTGCTCTGCCTGTTGGCCGGTCTGTGCCATCTAATAAAAAATTACCCTGTCTCTAACGATAGTCTGACTTGAGAATCCCAGTGCCTCTTCCCGTGGTACGGTTGGGTTCTTCTGCTGTGTTGTAAATATTATTAATACTAGAGGGGTTGACAAATTGATCTCAAGTTTATTGAAATGGATATTCCTGCGGGAGTTAAAGGAATAGTGCTGTAACCAAGTATGAACAGCCAGTCTCAGTCCTGAAAGACTGTCTTCCTGTGTAACTGTTTTCCTCCCGTACAGCAAAATTAATTCACCTTCTGCCAAAGATTTGCTCTCCAATAACAAGGCTCAAAAGAGCTCGAGGATATTGTAATTACTCAGGAATCTGTGCTGTCATCGTGCAGTGTCCCAGGCATAGCCAGCTCCGGGTTCCTGCCTTACCAGAGAGATTCTGGGCTGGGGATGGGGAAGGAGATTTTGCAGGAATAGTAGTGGCAAGCATTTAAATGTTAAGACTCGTGGGTAAAAGAGATCTGTGACTCTGTGGTTTATTTTGTTACAGTAATAGTGAAGGTCTGTCACTAGCGGAGCTCACCTCCTACACTATGTTGGGAAGAGGATTTCTGAGTAAACTGATTCAGTGACTGTCCCTTACTGCGGACATACTCTTATAGATCCTTTCTGGCATCCTAACGATAGCAGCTGCGGATGCATTTTGGTTAGAGTGAAAAATAAGAAGCTGGAAAAAGACACCAGTTAAGATGCTGTTGCGGGTGAATGGATTCTGCAGGTGGACTTACAAGGATGAACAGGACCTAAAGCCTTACGTGTGCTTTTGAGTAGGGATGCTGTTGTGCTGCAGTGTCTTTCTGAGCAGTGATTCTTCTCAGCCCTTCTATTGAGGCTTTGAATTGTAATGGACTGTAACAGGTAACAAAGTAACTCTGAAGGAAAGCTTCCTGTTTACTGACCTAAAAAACAGTTTGAGGCTGAAATTGATTTTTAGATAAAGTTCAGTTTAAAAAACAAAATTAGAGTTACCCACAGGCCAGGATTGAAAAGACATGAAGTAGCCTGCTGGAGATAAACAAGGCTTCTCATGCTTTTCCCGGGTAAATTCCTTGAAGGTCTACTTCTGCTCTTCTACCCACAGTAAAGTTATTGATATACAGCTGGTAAAAAGTTGAAAGAATACTGTTTCCCCTCTGATAGCTTTGTAGGTTTCAGTCTTTCAGCATCTTTACTAAGACATCATTCACTGTATGCAGTTGTATTGAACAGCTGGAAGTCTCCACAGATCGAGATAAATGTATACGTACGAGACTCGATGTCATATTCTCCAGATAAATTACACTTGTGTTCTCTTTACAGAATGTTTACTTATTTGAGTCTAATTTCGGGTTTGGGGTTTTTGGATATTCTTTGGTCTCTCCTGTTCCCCACGCAGGCTCTCTGAGGTGTGGCATAGCAAGCTCTCACCTTGCTGATACACTCTGCCTGTTGCTTACACTGGGTCCCGCCTGCTTCTTCTACAGGAGATGGTTTTGCTTTTCAGATTTGTATTACATGTTGTCAATTATTATTTCAATAATAATGTTTCAATATTTCAATTTTATTATTGAACAGTAGTTCATGATTTCCAGCATTTTATTCTCCAAATGATTGGGAGCTATTACAGTCTAATAGTTTTTCCTGGCAGGGGTATTGTATTTTATTTATTGGCTGCCAGAAACGATATGATGGCTCTTGTAACTCTAGTAGTCAAAATATACTTGGACTTGCTATTTGAATCTTAAATACACTATTACAGGTTATTTTTGATGTAATATGTTTCTTTTCAGTCTAGCAACCTGACCACTATCTTCACAATTGGTGATCTAATTTTTTAAATATTAAGCTCTTGCTAAAGAAGGGGGATGCCTAGTGCTATAGGTTTGTATCGTTAAATATGAAAAACCTGTACATTATATGCAATTTACAGTTTTTCTGCAAGGGCTATGGGACAAATAGTGCAGTGTTTCTTACTTAATTTCTGGACTTCTATTCCTGCACATGCGAATTACTCTTCTGCAAAGTGAAAGAAGTATAATTACAATTTAAAATCCTTCTTGGTCTTTTAATAAAAAGCGGGAAGGAAACTCTCTGATGGCAGATTTGAATATGCAATCTATGTTACTTTTGAATAATCACGATGATGAGCTCGCTCTGTGTTAGTTGCAATAATTACAAATTTTTTCAGTAGTCATACCTAATAGTCCTGGGAGGCAGGGAGGTTGAACCAAATTGGACATAGTGCCGTAGAAGTGTGGATCGCAAGGTGTTGGCTTCTTTCTGTGTTTGGGGTCTTGTGGTTTGGTTTCTTGTTGTTGTGGTTGTTTTTTTCCAATGTTATAGGAGATCTGGGGAGGATTTGGCAAAGCTACTAAAAAGCATAAAGGCAGAGCTTCAGGCTTGGTTCAGTTGCTCTTTCAAAGGACTGTAAACATTTTAGTAAGTTGTCATGAAGCAGATGTACATGGTACAAAATGTTTAGGAGATGCACACAGTTGAAAATAGGTGCCCCATCAGAAGGTTATCCAGACTGTGTTAAGTTCTAATGTCACCCGAGGCGTATCAAGGGAGGGAGGTAAACCTGCAGCTGTTCTGCTGGTTTGTGGAGGCGGTGCGACGTGTCTGAGTGGTGGGGGAGCTCTGCGGGGTTGCTTCTGCTGAATACGTGCACTACAGAAGGCCTGAGACACTATTGTGTTTGTGGAAACATGGGGTTTTCTAGTCATAGTGATTTGTTTATTCCCAGAGAGAAGCTTCTGGGAAGATATTTGTTAATTATGTGCTTCTTTTGATAAAGCAAAAAAATCAGTGATCTAATCCTAAGGATAGATAACTGGGGACATAGACCAAAGGTTATCTGTTCCAGGATCGTGTCTCCAGCATTGGGCAAGTGGAGTCACAGGGCCAGCAGAATGTCATGCTTCCCCAAAATACTTTCCCAGCTTCCAGTTTGAAGTTCAGAGATTTCGCCAGAGGTGGAGTCTTCCTATTAAATGGGTTTAGTTTGTTCAGTTGCCTTCTGAATGGGTGTGTATTGGTGGCCTCTGGCAGTTCTGCAGGTTGACTGTGTGTTACAAGGAGAATCACTGCCACCTGTCACGCAGCAATGCCGTTCATTGCTCGCTAACTCTCGTGTTGGGAGAGAGGGAGCAGGCAGCCCCAGCTTACCTTCTCGGTGTGCATTTCAGCCTTCTGCAGTTTGCAGGCAGAGCCCTCCAAAAGCACAGGAATTTGCATTTCAGTTATCTATAATGGACTAGATACATAGCCACAGTTGTACATTAAAAGGTTTAGAACCTAAATCTGCTCATCAGGTTTTTCTGGACAGCAGTACAAACTGTAAAAATCACAGGAGTGTGGTGCATACGTGCTGGCATAAACCTGTACGCAGCGTGTGTCGAGAGGGAGGGCTGCTGGGTGTGTGTTGATGCAGAGTTGCTATGTTTGGCTAATTTTTGCCACGCTTATTGGTTTGAATTTGATAATGCACAAAGACTAATTGACAGGATTGTTGGCTTTCTTACATGTTCTTTTCCTTTCCTAGCTACGACAATTAGTTAATATGTGCATCAACCCAGATCCGGAGAAGCGACCAGACATAACCTATGTCTATGATGTAGCGAAACGTATGCATGCACACACTGCGAGCAGCTAAACAGACATCGGATCATGAAGAAAAAAAAGCAGAAACAACCAAGGATTTTAAGTAAATCATCCCACCTCGTTGTTTGTGTGTTACTGAAATGTAATTATTTGAAGCTTACTGTTGTGTTTTGAATTGTAAACCGGTTTATATACAGCCCTTGTTGTTTTCTGTTTGTTTTTTTGGTTTTTTTTTGTTTTTTACTAACTTAGTTTCACAGGTCTAAATATGTGAAGCGTAACTTTAAAAGATACCAAGAATGACTGTTTTCCATTTTAAGTGGATTCAAGTATATTTGCTTTAATAACGAAATTGTATTCAGTCGGGCCTCAGTTCTAAAACCCAGTTGCACTTTTGCACATGATACAGATATTAGGCTTATTATCTAAAAGCAAAATGTCTGAATCTCTCACCTTTCTAGTAATTTATGGAAAGTATGAATCAGCACAGTTAACTTTATTTTAATCTTTCTTCTAAGAGGGACATAATTGTTGGAGAAGGTTATTGTATTGTATATTGATTTGTAATTTGCATTTCTCATCGTAAGACTAGACAAGTGATAGCATTAGTACTCTGCTTGCCAGTTGTAGGAAAAATTGTCATGCTGAAATTTTTGTAACATCCCTTTTTGTTATTCTGTCATAATGCACATAAAATGTTTGTTGGAGGAGGTTTTTGAGAAAATTTAAGGTGTTGATTCTGCAGCTTGATCGTTTTCAATAGGCTTGTGCAGCACTGCCCTGGGGCAGTAGGAATCTCCATAGTTCCGTCTTAAAACCATGCAGATGCTTCTTGTAGTAAATAGGGTTCTTCTGAGGCAGCCTTTATGACAAGGTCTGATTAAAAGATGCTTTAATCTTTAAGTTACAATTTCGCAACTGTTTATGTATATGTCACTGTTTGTAGATTTTTGTGTTTAAAATCATTTGAATGACCTTACAGTATATTTAAATTTTAAAGTGTTTTTTTAAATACAGAAACCTTTTTGGAAAAGATATAATAGTATAGTATAACACAAAATGTATTCTTCATGAATATCTGGGTTTGTATACTGTATCCTGACAAATAGTTTTATATTTAGGAAAAGTAAATTTTAGCTTTTATGTTTAAGAGAAAAGTTGCCACTCCTTCATTTGAGAAATATATATGTAAAATGTCTTACATTACATGTCTTCAGTAGTTGAAAAGGAAATTCACAATATTTTTGTTAGACCTTAGCACCTTTTTGGGTATGCTTAAATAATATTTTTAAGGAAGGAAAGTGTCGTCTTTTTAAATGTGGTAAAAATGGAGAATGGACTGAAATTTCTTTGAGTTTCAAGACTGAACTTTTTATACAGAGCTGTCAAAACATAATTATTACCAGTGATATTGCTAAGAAGCTGTTGCAGTCAGTTAAATCTTTTTCCTTATGTGGGTAAAAAAAAAAATTAGTTCAAATAAAAGCAGAGATATGTACATACACATATAGGTTCTAGCTGCAGCGAGCTCCCTGTACACTGATTTATTTTTTCTTTGTTTCTCTATGCAGCTTTAATTTTTGATTTGATATAATGCTCACAGAGTAAAAATCCAGCTGTGGGGTTTGTGGATGAAATTTTCAAGCTAGGTCAGGGTTTTTTCTGGCTTTGTATTTTTTAAAATTGCAAATACTATGGAAATTGTGTTTGGTAAAATACAGATTTTTTTAAACAGTATGTGCCAGATCATTAGCTTATCTTAGTATGTATTTTTTTCAAATTTTTGTTTTCAGATGTTGTAGGATAAATCCTTAGTTTTCCTGCTAGCTTCTGTCTATACTTAATCTTGTAGGAGTTCAGTGGAACAATTTGTAGGGAAGAAGTATTTGAGAAACCTTGATTTGCGTCTAGCAACTTCTAGATGTGTTTTCATTTATTATCTGATTACTGAATTTTTAAAATGATGGTTATGTTCTGTAACAATAGTTCATATGTCATAGAATGACATGGTTTGTATTGGAAAAGGCAGCACAATACCTGCTTGAGCGCCAGCATTAGCTCTTAAGATGCACAAGTACTCAAACAATATTTTTTCTGAAATGTACTAGAACACTTAAAAATCACTGAAGAGAACCCAACACAGTCAGACTATTTGCATTTAATATTATGCATCAAATATTGAACTTTCCTAAAAGAAACCAATAATGGATTTTTTTTTTCTTCCCCTCCTGTCTGTAAGGATACATTGAGTAAAGAAAATGAGTTAGGAGTTAGCAAATGTGCATACTTAAGCATTTAATTTTTTTTATTTTTTTTTAATATTTATGATTAAATCTTGTGCTGAGGAAAAGAAATAGCTGTTCCTATTTTAAAATCTGTAAAACGAATGGTACAGATGACTCTGGTACCAAACTTTATAATTAAGAAGCCCATACGGGTTAATAGAACTGCTTGTATAACTGGGGATTGTAGAATCTATCCCTGAAGTAAAGCACCTAGTAACATAGGAAAATAAGTCTGTTCTACCACTCCCATGTGTGCTATACGCTTATAAAATAGTTTCTTTTATAAAACGCCATTCTATTGTTCATATGTTGTTGATGGTGACACTTGGCACTATTTATTTGAAGCTATGGCATTGTGTGTTTATTTCCTTTCAAGGGAATGTGTTGCATTTGTAACCAAAATGTCTGACTAGCTTCTGCTTTTATTTTGGTAATGCTACAGTATTAACTCGCTTCATGAGTGAACTTTGTGCTTTGATTGACATGGCATAAAATTTCCTGTCTTGATAGCTCCTCTGCTGTCTAGCAGTCTAATAGGAATAAAACACAGAGATTAAATTTAATGTAAAAATTATAGTGTTTCTATGATATTTTTTCAAACTTTTCTTGTTACAGATATATATACATATATGTTACTGTAGATGCTACCTATCTTGTGGACAGTTTACTGCTTCCAGTAGTTGATTATAGGTGAGTTTTCTTGACTGTAACAAAAGACAGTACATTCAAAAAAATATTTTTCATATTATTTGTCAAAAATCTATCTAAAAATACTGTGTCAGATATATTCAGAATTAACCCAAAAAGAGTGTTTTTATCTAAAATCTAAAAAAAAATCTGAAATTATTTTCAAACCATATGAAAATATCTGAAAAGCATAAAAATGACAGATCTCCCATTATGGCCCCAGTCCTGTGAGCTCTTGCTTATAGGTAGGATGTTTTTTATGTAATTTCAGTAATTTTCAGTGAACCTCATATTCACACATGAATAAGTAATAATCCAGTAGGATATATAGAAATGATGTGCTCAGATCACTTTTTATCCTTTCTGTATGTCACTGGCTTGGTAGCAGGGAATAATGTGGATTGTTGCACTCTTCTGTTGCACCCTAATGATCCAGCTACCAATTGTATGAGCAGGCAATAGGAGTATGTTGTCTTTTTGTAATGAGCAGAAACTTTAAAAACATGCCAATATACCGGAAGATGAAATACAGGATTAGAAGTCTCTGAGAAGGCTGGTGTTTTATTCATGCTCATGATTAAGAAAGCTATAGAGTGAAAATCTTGACAGAGGCTTGGAAACGGAGGACTTCTTATGCCAGTGGTTCTTGGATATCTCTGAGTGGGACCCACATTTGCAGGGGTGTTTGTTTTCGACAATCTGTCTGCTTCATCTCTGTCTTTGCTGTTATATGTTGAGATGAGAATCTTAATGGCTGATTTGAATGCTGGTGGCGAATGCTGAATCGGGTATTTGAGCTTTTAGGAACAGGAGGTTGATGCGAGGGAGAGGCAATGAAGTCTTGCTTTGTGGAGAGTTAATTTAATCTGGAAGTAAAGGTTCTGGATAGCAGAGTTCAAATCATTGTTTTTCCATCATTCTTAGTGCTACTTTAACAGTCAAAAAGTTATATAATATCCCCATTTCTTCTAGCCAGTGGCAGTGCTGGTCTGCTGAATTTCTGGTCTCTGGTTTGGTGAATAACTAAACCTTTCTGCCAAGATCGTCCGAGGAGGGAAACACAGGCGCTGGGCATGCCCAGTGGGCTGTTACTTATGGTTCCAAACATGACTCAAATATAGATTTTTAAGGTGGTTCTTCAAACTCTATTACCTTCCATGAAACTTGTTCTCCAGTTAATGCTTTTGAAAAACTGTTTCCCTTTCATATTCAGTTCTGAAGTCCTGCGATTCCTGTGTTCCACCGCTTCGGCTGTCCTGTTGTCTTCTCTACCCTCTTCCTGATCTGAAGTCATCTGTGTCTAGTTTTCCTAGTGGCCATTAATTTGCTTTGTGACTTTGCTAAACTCAGCCCATTTCTGTCTTCTCAAAGTCTATCCCTCACCATGGGCGAGAGCTTTTTTTCTTTTTTCCCCTGGTAAGTACTTAACTCCACTCTCCTTCATTCTGTTTTTCTAGCCTGATGCCTTTGATTTCTAGTTTTAGACAGATTTTCTCACTGCCTCAATCATTCCCATGACCTTGTCTTTACTAAATACTGTTCACTTTATTATCTCTCATTTCTAAATTCCCTTTCTCTGATCACTACCTGCTCTCTTTCAGCTTATCTGTCTTTCTCTCTCCTCTACCCTGTCACTCACTCCTTTTGGGATCTCCAGTCTATTAACCTTTCTGACTCCTTTACTCTTCTCAGCTGCCTCCTTCCTTCATTGGCCTCACTTCCTTTGACTCACTGGTCTTTATTTTCATCTTTATCTGCTTCTCTATACATGGTTTCTTTGGTTGCTTCTTCTGTTGCCCCGTCTCCATTTCTCTCCCCACACTTTTTTTTCTTTAATTTCTTAATTTCATTCCTGCCTTTCCGCGTATCTCTGAAGAGCATGTAATCACAGCACAGCTTTGGACTCAGCTTTGCCTTACCTCTTGTAATTCTCTTTCCAAGTGGACTTTTTAACCACTTTTGTATCACCTTTTTTTTTTTTTTTTTTCTTGCTGAACTTGCTTGCAGGTTTGCTGTTCGTTTGATTTCTCCATTCATTCTTGATACAAAATGTGTCTTCAAAACCAATCCTGATTTTTGC